TGTTCATTTAGCCAGACCTGTGCAGAAACGCCCATGTTGCTGATGTCAGGGAGACTGTACAAATAAGCCCCAAACCCAGACTAGAATAGATCCTTCCTTCTCATGGGATGATTGGGAACTCACCACTATGTGGCTTCAGGCAGGCCCCACTCCAGGACTCAGTTTTCATCCTCTAAAATGGACAGGGAGGTGTTGGACTAGCCAAGTTCAAAAGTTGCTTCTAAGGCAAAGAACTTTTTACTGAGATTTTTATCTAAATCCAGAAAAAAAGTGTAGACATGTGTGTAATTACTAGCAATTGTTTCTCCTCCATTCTCCTTTTGGGGTCTTTGGCATGAATGCACACAAGCCCAGCATGATTTTCTTTTTGGGGGGGGAGGTTTTCGCTATAGGGCGCGTGCGCTCACCAGACAGACAGAGAGAGACAGAGAGACAGAAAGCGAGAAATCACCCCCCAGGGGGGATGGTCACCCCTCAATCCCTTCTCCTCCATTCTCCTCTTGGGATCTTGGGCACGCACGCACACGTGCCTGGCGTGAGTTTTAAGCCACCGGGTCTGGGACTCAAACCACGGTCGACTACGTGGGAGTCAAGCGATATAGCCATTACGCTAACTGCTGGTTCCCTAGTGCTTTTTAAATTCTCCACAGGCTGCAATTTTACTAACTCTCTGACCTTGTGATTTTCTTCCAGGAGATTTCCTCCAAATGATCCATGAGCGTGTTAAGAATCTGGATTGGGTCTTTGTGACTCAATTTTCTATGCCTACTTCTTCCCTCTCCCACGCCATCCTCCATCTCAACCTTCATCTTGGCCATGCGTGATGCGGAGGCACTGGAGGACCTAGGCTGTAAATCTCAGACACTTGAAGTTCCTTTTTGCTGTTTTTAGTCCAGGCGCATGCACTCCCAGGCACTGGGAGGACATAATGACCCACCCTTCACCTTCTCATGCCTTTTCCCACTGTTTCTTGAATGTTTCTTCCATGTGCCAGAATCTACCCTGGCACTGAGGCTACCGAGATGAACTATGTTACCCAGTTTTCAGAAATTTCAGCCGTAAGTTTTGGAGGAGCCACAGCAACTGCTTGATGGTAAGCAGCGCCACCTAGGAAAGAACAGCCGGGAACAGCATTTAATGCAGCTGAGGAGAGGCAAGGAAGGCTCTGCTTGGGCGAACTCTTTTTTTTTTTTTTTTTTTTTAAGAACTACTCTTTTATTTAACTTCATTTATTTATTTTAATTTGACCAGAGAGGGACAGAGTGAGAGAGAGAGAGAGAGAAAGGAAAATGCCAGGTCTAGGACTTGAACCATGGTTGGCTACGTGAGAGTCCAGCACTCTTAACCACCACACCACCTGCCAGCCCTGCAAAATCTCTTTTTTTAGATAAATGTTTGCTATAGGTGCATATGTTCACTAGAGAGACAGAGACAGAGATAGAGAAAGCAAGAAATCACCCCCTAGGAGGGATGGTCATGCCTCAATCCCTTCTCCTCCATTCTCCTCCTGGGATTTTAGGTACACATGCACACATGCCCTGCATGAGTTTCAAGCCCCTGGGTCTGGGACTCCAACTGTAGTCAGTCTTGGGAGAGTCCAGCACCTTAACCACTATACCACCTGCTGACCCCTTGGGTGAAATCTTGAGGGGAGCTATAGCACATGTTGTCAGTGCCCACCATACCCTCTCTGTCTTCCACGGAGTTGTTCCATCTGAGTTCAAGGAAAGCGGGATGCGCCACAGAGTTAGAGCTACAGGAAGACCCCTCGAAGCAACAAGGAGCAGATGCTGGTGAGTGAACACCCTTCTTCCTCCCCATGTGATAGAATAATCCTGAGTGGCCCAAGAGAGAGTCCCCAATGGAACTAAGCCCCAGCCGCCCAAGGAAGTTACCTGCTCACCAACACACCATCTGTACCTTGCCCTCTGTGTCTCATTACCTTACTCCCATTCCCAAATAAACTACCTGCACCCAAGTCCTTATCTCAGGACCTGCTTTAGATGAAACACACACTAGGGTAGAGGAATGAGCTAAAGGGGCCAGCAGATGGCGCGGTGGTGAAGGCACTAAACTCCCACATGGTCCACCACAGTGTGAGTCCCGGACCTGATGACTTGAAACTCATGCTGGGCGTGCACGGTGTGTGCCCAAAATCCTGAGAGGAAAATGAAGAAGAAGGGATTGCAGTGTGGCCATAACCCCTGGGGGATGATTTCTCGCCTTCTATCTCTCTGTCTCTCTCTGGTGAGCACATGCACCCTATAGCAAAAAATCTATTTAAAAAAAAGAAAGAAAGAAAAAAAAAAAACAGTGAGCTAAAGCAAAGAACACAGTGATGGTTTGGGTGGGGATGAGCACCCAGGCAGGAGAAACAGCTTGGGTACAGTCACAGAGGACTGGATGTGGCATGGCACTTGGCATGGCATGGATCTGACGTATCATTTAGAGAATGCATACTTTGTGGCCCTAGGACTTTTTTTTTTTTTTTTGAGTGGTTTTTGCTA